TAATTATAATCAATTATAATTATCAAAAAAAAACATCACAATAATCCGTTATAATCGATTATTTACGCCTAAACTTGGATGCGGGTGATACTAAATTTTAATAAGGTGTTATGAAAGTTCCACTCAACCAAAAACTCCTACAACTCCGACTGTATAGAACATAAAAATCCCCAACGGACAATTTTTTTTTCTTTTGATTATTTTTCAGATGTTTGTCAATCAGTTTTTTGCTCCGAGTTTTAGTTTCAAATTGTGAATTAATTAATACATCATAGCTTAAGTAAAATTAGAAAAACAATTTTAGAAGCGTTTTTTTATCTTCTTTTCATCTACTAAAAGTTTGTTTGAGAACAGAAACATTCGACACAACTCAAATTATCTTCACAGAAACAATTTTTCCATGGGTTAAATGCTGCGAAAGAACAAATTATTGATCGATTTGGCAGGCGTTTTTTTATACTAATCTTAGAGTGACATTTTATGGCAAAACAATTTACCATATAAAGAAATTATTTTTTGAAATAATTTAATTTAGCCTTGCCCAACAACCCAACAGCTATGCTTACTAGGTGCGCGATTCAATTTGGACTATTTTGCTGATTGACTCAGCAGGTAATCTTTTTTAAATTGGTTTGCGAGGACTGCATCTTTTCATAAGTTGGGTGAAATATCGCTTAGTATGAGCTGACGCCTTCAACGAATTGCTCGATACTCAAAAGATAATGTTTTTTTTTCGTCATAACAAGAAACTTGCAAGCGACTATTTAACCGACGTTTTGTTCCATCTCTTTCCAGACAAATTTTTTATTGCGAAGAATGGTAGTTTTTTGTGTTTTCTGTGTGTTATCGCTAGCTACGACTTGCCCTCTGCTATGAACTACCACCATACCCAAAACGCATAGTTGTTTTTGATAAATTAAAATTTCCTAAAAAGATTAATTAGCTGAGATTTTTTCGCACAACACCATTGAAGGAAAATAAATAAAGCTCATGGTTTTTTATGCGGTGAAATTTCGTTGCAAGCAATAATTTGTCAAAATTATCAAAAGCGACATTTCAATTTACAAATGCAAAACAAATTATTCAGGAAGTGTGCGTAACAAAATCTCGGCTCATTCGTTTTTCTGAGTTGCTCGTAATGGCCAAAAATCCAACCTCTTCGGAAACCATAATTAGGATAATTTTTCATCGTAAATATCATTCAAATAAAAAAATGCTTTTTTAAAAATCACTTGAGTTTACTTATAAAACAAGCAAATTAAGTTATTGAGGTAAAATCCAGATAAGTTTGCTAAGTCAAAAATTACAATCTTGTTGGAAAAAAAACAACTAATGAAAAATAAAAAAATTGAAAACTAGAAAAATGACGAATCGTTCATCACTTTCCTTTTTCATAGGTGTGCTGCTCTTTTTCAGCTCTTTCAAATTAATCTTCAATAAACAAAATCATTCATTAAATATGACTTCTTTTTATAAAACCTTAATAAAAAGTAAAAAGCAACAATTGAAACTAAAACAGCGGGGAAGAAAAATGATCAATTTGTTTAACTTCTCTGTAATAATTTTTACGAGGTATACGCCATGCTCTACAAATTTCTTTTATTGGCAAATGCAGATATAAAAAACATTGCCTAGCGTAGCAATTTGGAATCAGTTGAAAAAAGAGACGAACAAAACTCCAAAATTGGACTGAATTGGGAAAAAACATGAATAAACATCTTCTTTCTCTAATTAGAATGCGATACGCACGGATAATCATCTCTTGTAGCGACAAGACGCCCTTGGGGAAAAAATTGAAGTTCTAATGAAATCAAAAACATGTATCAGATGTTAATGGGTTTTTTAATCTAGAGTTGGGTTCATCAATTAAGCTCACTTACGATATAAATCATCATTATGATCCTTAAAAATCATACGACATTTTCAAAAACAATTTCTGCAGAAAGAGTACCAAATTAATACTAGGGTTGGTAATTTTAATGAGATAAATCTATCCCGCTGCAAAGCATTGAAGCAGCGATTTATCATTTAAGAGAAAACATAACCGCCTTATAAAAGTCTTACCCGAAATTAAATTTTTCTAATAATGTAAAAACAAACCTCCTTGCATCAAGACGATGCTCCTAATGCTCGGAGTGCCCTTCAACCAAAAATACGTAACTGTTATGTAATAGTTACGTCACCATTGTGTAACAGTTACAAAAGTTATGCAAATTCATTCATAAGAATAGCTGAATCATAAAAATGACTGCCAACATGGAGTAGTTTTACTTCCTTAAAATAGCCAAATTAACTACTCTGAGACAACCAAAACATTTTTAAAAAGTCGTAATTAGATTTTTCTTTCATAGTCTAACCGAGGAATTTGATATCTTTCATCAGATGAAATAAAAGAATTCATAAAAAAAAGTTGGTTCAAAAGTTGAATTTGCTCAGAAGTAGAGAAAAAAACACCGCAAACATATTTACTACGTTACTGTGTTCTCAATTTTAACAGCAAAACAATTTTTAACCCCCAAAAAGAGAGCAGTTAAATATGGAAACTAATTGAAGGTGATAAGGTCGAAACGGCAAAATGTTTCAAGTATTATTGTGAAAATTAATCAGCAAAAAAAATACTGATCAAACCATGCTAAATTAAGATTTGAAACTGAGAAAATTGAAAAAGACAAGTCGACCAAATTATTTTGGAAAAAGGCTGAAGGAATAATTTTGTTACAAACAGAGAATTTGGTTAATTGCTCTGCGAAATATTTAATTTGTAGAAAAATTATCTCGGCAGTTCAACCGGAAATACTTCAAAAAACTGATCTGGGCTCTTAAAATAATTTTTAAAAGCCGTTGCTGCACAAAGTAAATTTGAATCTTCAAATCTGACCTTGATAAAAAAATTGCATTGCGTTTCATTACCAAAACTAGTCTGTAGTCTGTGGGAAACTGCATTCTAATAGACAAAAAAAAACGGCATTTTCGTATCATAAAAACAAATTTTCGTATCAAGGAAACAAAAGGACTGAAATTTGGGCTGAAATTGCAATTTTTTAGACAGAAAAATAAATTTCCTTGAAAAAAAAGTAAAACTTCCCTCAGGAAAATGAAGTTTCTGAATTACAAACATATGCAAAGCTTCACATTTATTGTGATGATTATAAAGACGGTACGGATGAAATGGCCAAAAAATATGGCAAGAGCACTTTGTAAAAAACTGTCAAAAAATTCAACATAAACAAAATTTTTTTGTTTTTGTCTTAAGTGAAGTTCAGTTCGAGCAAAACATGCTGCGAATACTTTAAACCCGCATAGCACAAACGAATGAAAATGTATTTTTACATTTAAATTACGTTTTACACGGTAAATAAAGAAATATTCAAGCTAAAACCATTTAAGCCAAAAACAAAACTATAAAGCAAAAAAAAAAGAAAATTGCTACAATCAAAATCATATTTAAAAGACAGGTAGAGGGAAATTTGAGAAGAAGTATTAAAACTTGAGATGGACTATAAAGAATATTGTTTAGACTAGGGAAAAACTTTTTTGGAGAAGCCAAAAAAAATTAAGCTTCAAAATTTTCCAAGGAAAAATTCAAATTGAAAAAAAATTGGACAGGAATTGAATATAGCACTTTTGTGGTCTCAATTATGTGCGCTATCTCTATTCTATATGTGCAAAAGCCACCCTTATAGCTGACTTTTTATGAAGCACGTAACTCATCACGTGCGGGTTTTGTCGGCAAAAATGTTTAGAGGAAAAATTTTGTAGCTAATTTCAAAACCAGTGCTAACAGCAAAAGAAGTGAATTTAATCTTATATGCAACGAAAAGTGTTAAAGAATCAGAAAGTTTTTTATCATGCAGATCAAAAATAGGCAACTTAATATTATGTCTAAACATAACATAAAGGCTGCAACCCAAATTAATTTTCTTCTGTTGAAACCAGAAAAACTATTGTGAATTTCCAGGGCCGGTTTCAAGCTAATTAGGTTCTCATTTCTGAACGCTTTTCTTTCTATGAAGCCTCTGTATTCAAAAACCATTAAACGTGATGCGAAAATTGGGGAAACTATAAAAAATTTTTTATTCTAAGGTCTAAGGTTTGTAAAAAAAAGCTTTGAAAGTCAATATTGGTATGTTTTTTATTAATTTGTTTTGCAAAGCAGCATTTTTTTTTATTATTTTCGGGAGAGATGAGAATTTATGTTGATTTTCAAAATCCTTCACTTAGCGAAAAACCACGGTCTGCGCCTGCCTCTAGGTGTAGTTGTATGAAACGTTTGCATTATATTCCCTTGTTATGCATTTTTAAATTGAATTTTTATCAGTTAATTAAAATCCTTGAAATGTTTCCTTTTTATTAAGAACTACTGCATCTCAGTGATACGGGGCTAGCAAATCTGGGAATTTAATGTAAAAATCTCTAGTCTGACCCTTATGCGGTCAAAAATTGCATTAATTTTCTATACTTAAAAATCACAGCTCCTTCAAGTGTATTTTGATTCAATATGATTGACACTTCATTTCAATTTCGTTTTTCAATTGCCTTGTATCAAAAAGAACAACTACTCAAAATATGGGTAAATGTACAATTATCAATAACGGGTCTCACTTTTATTTTATGTGAAGCCAGGAAAAAGCACAAAGAGAACGATGAGCCGTAAGCGGTCGAATGATTCTGTTTATTTTATTTTAAGTAACTTAAAAAGTTCACTTCTCAAATTTTACTTGTTTTTCATAAATCCATTTCTTAATTTGGATGATTTAAAAAAAATTCTTAATTTGGACGAATCAACAGCACCAAAAATCTAAATAGTGTTATTCAAAAAAGAATCATCTAGAAATGAAAAATCATTCGGAGTTGTTAAAAAAGGTTGCAATTTTTTAGATTTTGTCTTCTTTAAGTTATCAGTTGCAAGAGCAAATCTAATAAGGCATGTTACAGTGTGTCAAATCAGTGAAATACAATAGAAATGTCACAATTATTGATTTTTTTCAACTAAAACTGACCCGTTTTGCAGTGTGCGAATCGGGATTGAATTTCCGTTGCAATCGTTGACTTCAATCTGAACATTGCTCACGCCAATTTGTATGTCTTTGTCGTCTTCATTTTCCACGATTTCCAAGCCCTTTTTGCTCGGAACGGAAGATTTCAACTCGGGTTGTTTTGATGTCAAAAGCTCCTCTGTTAATTTAAAGCAGACATTTTAGAAACGATTCTATGATTATCTGAAAATTATTCTACAAAATTTTTTGTTTGAGGTCAAAAGTTCCTCGGCTAATTTAAAGCAAACATTTTGAAAACGATTTTCTGATTATATGATTATTTTACAAAACAGTTTTTCGTTTTGAGGTCAAAAGTTCCTCGGCTAAATTAAAGCAAACATTTTGAAAACGATTTTATAAATATACGAACATTATTCTACAAAGCACTTTCATTCGAACATTTTTGGGCTATATCCTGTTCGGTTTTTCTCTTGTTTCGAAACGCTTAAGGTCTTCAATTATGACCCATTTTTGAAAATGTGTCCCCGTTAAAGTTTTCATGCAATTTAATTTTTTCACGGGGACGTTTTTGCTACCAACTATGCTCACTTATTTATATGTTTTTTAAAAATACAAATTGATCAAAAGGTTTTTTGCTCGGAATTTTTCCTTCTGTTTTTCTTGGTATTTGGAATTGCTAAATAATCAAACGAAATAGTTTAATCAGCCTTAAAACCAAATCATTGTATTCTGATTCTAATTGAGATGCATAATCATTAAGCCTTTTTGATAAAAAAAAAACAAAAAGTGTTCAGATGTTTCTAGCTTGTCTGCTTTAAATTCATCAAATTACCTTCGGAATTCCCTCTCAGTTTTTCACTATCTGGAAGCGTCTCCCTTATTTTGATAACCTTCGTATGCAAATGCCCATTACAACTCGGAGAAAGTTTGCCCGGATCGTTTTCTGTCTCGTTTTTGTCGGTTTGTTTTCCTTGATGTTTCTCGTTTTGTTTTTCATTTTGTTTTTCATGTTGTTTTTTACGTTGTTTTGCTTGCTTTTTCGTTTGTTTCTTTTCGCTTTTATGATGATTTTGTTTTGAAATCTCGCTTGTGGCTCCGACTTTTTTGTTGTCAGTTTTTGAACTCGAATGACCTTTCACATTAGCAGCTGATGGTGAACTTAGAGATGAAGAAAGTTTATCATTTTCATCGTTGCAATTTTCACCTTCAAAGTCTTCATTTTCGTTTTTATCCCATAACTGAAGTTTTTGATTTTCGTCCTTACAACAATTTTTGCAATTTTCACAACTTGAAAAGAAACAGTTCAATCCAAAAAGAAACCGAAATGCTCCTTTTTTGGTATCATTTTCGTTTGCGACTGATTCCTGGAATCCATAGCTGGTGCTGCATTGGTTTCGCTGATCGCTTTTTCGCTTCAAACTGCTTTTCGGATTTGAATTATTGGAGCTCTTTTTTTGCTTGTCGAAGTTATTTTTGTTGACTTTTTCAGCACGTTTTTTCTCCAAATAGGTTACGTTGGTGTAAACAACACACATAAACACAATGTCGATACTCATAAAAAGAACTTTACAAGCATAGTAGAATCCATCGACAATTCGCATTGTTGTCGGGCTGCTTGTATTGAAATACCATACCGGGGTTAAGCCGTAAATGAGGGCAAAAATGAAACCCCCGCCTAAAATCGAATAAACCTTTGGCGCTGTGAACCTGGACATATAGTCCAGAGGTCGGGCAACTGCAACATAGCGGTTGAAACTCATCCAAAAAACCAAATATAAAGAATAAAAAGTTACAAAAGTGTAAAGTGAACTGTTTAAAGTGCCGCTTCTTACGTGAAAAGCGACCTCAACTAGCCATAACAGTAGACTTATGAATGAAAAACAGAAATCGATCACGGCTATCGATAAAATGAAACACTCGCTCGGTCTGAAATCTTTCTTCTTCAGGTAAATAAAAACAACCGTCGAGTTTCCAAGCATTCCAATAATGTTAAGAAGGATTTTTCCCAAAACGAACCAAATGGGAATTGAAGACTCTAGAACTTCAAGATTAGTTTCGTTAACACTCGATTGATTAGCAAGATCCATTTTGAGTTAATCAAAATGTAAAACAAATTCAACTTTTTTTTGATAAATTTGCTTGAACGACAATTACGAAAATAGCTCAGAACGCAAACTATTTCAGTTTCAAAATGGAAAAAAGTGACGTTAGTTGAAATTCTTTCACTTATATCTTTTTCAATATTTGTGTTGAACTTTTCAGCAATATAATGAAAATAAAATAATGACGCAGGAATTGAATGCGATTTGAGTTCGTAGTTTTTCTTTTTTCTTCCGGGTGTTTTGGGAAAATTTCAGGTGAATATGCTTCGCTTCAATTATGGGCCGACGAGTACTTTTGTGAAATGAAGAATGAAAACCGTGACTTTTCGCTTTTTCAGGTAAACTCAGATATCAGGTCATATTTAACTAGTTAATTAACCAAGCTAGAAATGAGGGTTTGAAATTTGAGTTGCCCGTCGCTAGAGCCCAAATTAAAACTCAAGACGAGCCAAATGAAAGATGGAAGTTAAATAATTGGAAGAAAATACGAAAAGAAGGAATAACATATCGAATCGAAATTTCAGTAAGAAAAAAACTAATTTAATCCAGTGAAAAAAATGTTAAACCGACCAAAGAGTGTGCTGCTATCGTTAGTTTTTTTTCGAAATGAAACGATATAAAAAAAATGGAAATGCTGTTTGATGGTTGAACTTTATCTGAACCTGTCGATAAGGAGGACAAATTAAAAGAATTTATTGACGTTACGTGGAGGCAATTTGAACTAGCAAAAAGGATTTTGTTGATTTATGAAGGGACGGTAAAACAAACATACTGAGAACCTCCTATTTTTTCATTCAATTCTGATTACTTGCAATAATTGTATTGAAGGTAAATAACTAAACACACAGGTAAACTAAAGCTAGCCCAATGGTAGTTTTCAGGGGGCAAAAGGGTTTTTTTTAGACAACAGGTAAAACAATGTAATTTGAACCAAATTTTCGATCAATTTAAATTAAATTTGGCGTTTCACTTCACTTTCGCATTTGCTGAAAAATGTGTTTTTGATGCTGCAATAAACACTGTCAAATGATACTACATATTTTTTACCCAATGAGCCTTGTAAAAAAAGCAAATTTGACAAAAAAAGTCGGCTATTTTTTTCGGTTTAAGTAGGCGTAATATCGCTCATATGAAAATGTTATAACCTGAAAATACATCATATATAAGCGGGGATGAGCAATATGTAAGATATTATCGCAAGGAGATAAATTTAGCTCTGGTTGTCGAAAATTGAACAATTTCTTCAAGAGTAAAAAAAGAAAAAGTAAGAAAATAAGAAAAAAGAAATTCAATTTAGGAACTTTAAGTTAGGGTTAAAATGTTAAGAACCGTAGAGCGAAATTGCGTTCATATTGTGTTCAGAACTTACAAAATGAAGATCAAATTACACACAAAGTCCCTTAAGGGATGATTTTGTCTTCGATAAGGATTGAAAAATCGATTTTTTTCCGAATACGAAAATAAGAAGCTTAAATACGCAACGAACAGTAAAAAACAATATGTTCCTTTTTTTCAGTCAAAGCAATTGTAGAAATTAATAAAAATAATTTTACCCCGGGAAATAAAGCGAGCAAAAATGGTTATAGGAAGCTATTTTCATTTTCTTATAAAAGAAAGATAATCAGCGACAAAATTTATAATTTTCATGACATAAAATTAGTGATAAGAACAAGACGACAAGAAAACTAAATTTCCTTGCTGAAAATTAATCGAAAATTATCGTCAGCTCTTTTTGAAGCTTCAATAGCGGTTGCTAGAATGATTATTTTTATGTCGGCGCCAATTTAGTTCTTCCTTTTTATCAAACTAATCAGCAAAATGTCAACCAAAAAAAAAAGAACCAATCAGGAAACTGTATTTTGGCAAATTAAACAAGACGCAGAGGGGTGTTAGGCAAATAGAACGTAAGGATTTTTAATACGACAGAGCAATAAGACGACAGAGCAATAAGACGACAGAGCAATAAGACGACAGAGCAATAAGACGACAGAGCAAAAAGACGACAAATAATGCCCCATCTGAACGATCTCCCCCCTGTTTTGATTTAGGGGTAGATAGCTCTCTTGGTCCCAAATGAGCTTTAAAACACTTAAATTGAACTGTTCGATATTAAGCAGTTTATGTTGGATACAATTGGAGAATTGTGCGCAGCATAGCCGAAAAGTCCCTTAAAAACGGTTGTCGTCTTATGCAACTGTCGTCTTATTTGCCAGACATAGAGCTCAGGTATTATTTCAAAATCCGCGAGACACGATTTTAAAATGGTGTTAAAAATGTAGCTTTTCTAAAAATGGTAAACGTCTTATTTCTGTCAGCCAATCGCAGTTACCTTAAAAGACGAACTGGTTAAATTTGCAATGCTTCTTCAGAATATTACAAAAAAAACAACTCCAAAAATTATAAATGAACAATCTAACTGTAAAGAATTGTCAAATTTCTGCCAAATTTCTTTGAACAAATTTAGTTTAAACTACTAATCAAGAACTTCAATCCAAAATTTATAATAAAGCAAATCACAAAATGACCTTTTGAAAAAAATTCACTAATATAACAAGAAGCGTCATTTTTTGAGCAAGTAGCACCAAATGTTCCGTCCACTGTGAGATTACATAAAAAAAAAACAAGAAAACCAATCGTTCAAACATTTTTTATTTTTTCTTTGGTGATTTAAGATTTAGTGAAATTTAAAAAATGAAAAAATGAGATGTAATTTTATAAAACTACTCAAACGTAGACTCGTGGAATCATCCAATTAGATTGTGTTATCAAATTAAGCTACATAAGTTTGTCCAAAATTTTTCTCTTTCTTTAGACAATTTTCTGAACTTATTTAAATCTGTACTGAATTTTTTGAGCTTTTTTTGAATCGAATCTCAAGTTTTTTTAATGTTTCTGAAAAACTTGATTAACACCTTTGATTTTTTGTCCATAATTGGACAAAACTAAAAATCTGAAAAAAAATCTTCTATCGGTAAATAAATTACCGTATAGAGCAAAGGTTTTTTTTTAGATATATCGTTTTGGAACAATAAGGAAAACTCAAAATGTTTTTCAACGTCGAGAAAAAAAAATTGGTGATCCAAGCCATCCCGTTTTACCATCCTGCAAAACAATTCTTGTCATAAAGATTTAGGATTTTCCCTGTTTTACAATTTTCATTCAAGAAAACTTCTAAGCCAGCAATTCTTTCCCGAAAAAAAGCTAAAAGTTGCCAAAAGCCTTTCAAATGAATTGGATGCCTTTCTTGAATGCTTTAACTACGATTTAAAAGCAATTTTCAAAAACAGTTTTCAATTTTGTTCAAGTTTTTGCATACAAAATTTCTCAAGGGTTTTACACATTGCCGTTATTTTTTCTCCTAGTTACGATTGTTTTCGCTTCAACAATTTTTGTTATTCAGTTTCTCTTACTTCCATCAACTTTTCATTTCTTATAGAAAAGAGTTTATCTCAAGCTAAATTGCTTGTATCCCAATGGTTTCTTCAATTTATCTAAACTAGTTTTTTATTTAAGAACTAGTTTTGAAAGTTGAAAGAAATTGAATGAAAAAAAGAACAAAATATTAACAAGGTAATAAGTTTTATACTGAAAACACTAATTTTTTTATCGGAGAAAGAAACCACCGGAACAAAGAAAAGCATAGATTAAAATACAATTATAGGTAACATTTCAAGGTGTTCAACTCATTGAAAATCCATCTTCTCAACATTTTGTAAAAGTTTAAAATAGATTTCAATCAAAATACTCATCACAATCTTATCTCAATCTTATCACAAACTCACACAAAATGTTACCGTTTTCTTAAAATGGATTGATAATTTGCCGTAAATAAGTAGGTCTCTAAATGTGAAATGTACTGTGCCCTTTGGTTAATCTGAAAAGAAAAATTTAACAAAAACTCCATAGATATTCCTTGAAATTATGAAATCACTAGCTTAAAAGAATTTACTCATATTTTTATCTTCATCAAACAAAAAAGGCATCATGCTGAAACATAATCCAAGAAAAAACTGAATAAAATTTAGTTGAAATTTGCTAAATGGTTTTTCAAATGCACAAAATTAAAAAAATAAAATAAGCATAAGCTACGAGCATCTTAGATGCAAAAGATAGATAATGAACCATTCCTGAATCAATAAAAAAATTGAACGCTAATTTTGAAATTATTTGTAGCAATTATAGTATTTTATAATCGATGATTGGAAAAGTTTTATAGAGAATGACCATAATAATAGCATAATTTGATCATCAACTCCCTATACTGAGTGCGGGGATAAGTTACAATGACAGGATTTAAATGCCAAAACAGTCAATGTAAAACTGAAAAATAAGAAAACTTCAGGGTGCAATTTTTCTGTTTTTTGACCTTACGGTGATGTCAAAACAATCAACATAAACAATCAACGAAAATTAAGGTTGAAATTTTCTTTACATTTGCTTTTCTCATAATCCGCTTCTAACCGATGGCCAGCAAAAAAAATAATACACCTCATTTCGTAGTTAGTAAAGAAATAGAGGTGACCTTACGTGCAGTTTCCCACCCTGCTATTAGTAATTTCAAAAATGAATTCAGTATAAAAATTGGTTGTCGAAAATTGTGCATTGGTTCCCGTACCGAAAAAAAATTTTGTTTTCTATCGAGCAAAATTTAGTAACCTAACGTACAGTTTTTTTTCCGTCCCAAGTGAGCCAATGTACGGTTTCCGCTTAGCCATGTATCATTTTCAAAATGGATTACGTTAAAAAAAATGTTTCAAAACCAGCGCGCAGATATAATGGTTTGCGCACAATTTTTTTGTACTTCTAGCGAGCATTACTTGGTAACCTAACATATCCCTCACCCCCAAAAGACCTAACGTACAGTTAGCCCTAGCCAACTATTATCGACTGATTTGGACTCGATATAAAGTTAGTTTTTCAAACAAGAGCCCATAATTTAACTGTTCCGGCACCGAATATTTTAGCGAAAAATATCTAGCTTCTAGTTTGAATTACTGATCCAAAAATTTTTCTGAGTGTTTAAAAATAGGGCGAATCTAATAATTAATGAAAAGTCGGCCAATTTCTTCATTCTCCATCTGCAAAACTGTACATGCTATTTGATTGTTCACAGTGAACGATTGCTACAAAAATTGAAAATCTGACTATCTAGAAAAACAAACAAACAAGACTGCTCGTGTCAGGGTGAAGCCCTGATTGTTCCCACTGCCTTTTAAAGCTTATGGACCAGTAATAACCTTAAAAAAATAAATGTATTGAAATAAAATGAAATTTTTTTTTTTGAATTTTACACCTCCCACACGCCATATAAAGAAAAAAAGGATAAATTTCGCTCCTTGTAACAAATCAATTATGGCAAATAAGCTTCTTTCAACCAATTTCAAACAATTTTTAAGACAGATTAACTCTCCGCTTACGCGTCAATAGCGCGAAATATATCGCGCGTTAATTGTTCCAAATTGGCCAAAATGGCAAACTTTAAACCCCCATAACTTTACGAAAAACGATCACAGGTGAAATATCTTTTCAAATTGAAGCTCAGGACAACAATACCTTTTGAATGATATTAAAAAATTCCGTCTTAAATGGCTAGTTAAAAAGTCGAAATTTGTCTGAAAAAAA